TTCAATATAATATATAATAATAATACGATAAATAAATATAACAATCATTATAAAAAAAAAATAACTTGAAAATTTAAACTTATCAACATTTTCTTCTGATCGACTTGGTTCACTTTCATCAATATAATAGGATTACAATTTTTATAAAATTACAAAATTAAAATTTTTGTTCCAATACACCTTTTTGCTATAGGGGTTTCTATTTGTATGCTCAATATTAGGTTAACTAGATTACAAAAAATATTAACAAATAATAATTAGTAAGATTTGTAACAAAACTTTTATAGAAATTCAAAATAAAATCATAATAATTTGAATGCAAACTAAGCATTAACTACATAATGTAGTTATTAGAACAGTATGAAGAAAAATTTTAATATCCAGATGGCAGGTCTAGAGTTCGAATTTTATGGATAACATTTTTGAAAAATAGCCTTGTGATATGGTTAATGGCTATCATAATTAGTTGAATCCTAATCTGTAACCTTGGTCATACCATTTAGAATGAGAGCTTTGATATATAAATCCAAGGAACTGGAATAACTAAAAACCTGTTTGGCAAGCTCTGAGTTAGGAAGTAGTAGTAATCTCTGACAGTACTACAGAAAGACTGAATTTGGAACTGGAGACCAAGATCAGAAAACTGAGCAATTAGGTTCTTAAGTAGAAAAATACTAACAAAACTGCCAGCTCACCACCAGAGCAAAGAACTTGTACTCTGAAAGCATATACCAAGGAAAGAGAGACTATAAGACACTTAGAGCCTGGGCAAACCAATCTTTTCAGATTGTTGGCTAGAAGTAAAAGAGGGACCAGTAAGGAATTCAGATAAGAAGAAAGTTGAAATGTGGGTACTAGTGTTGTTGTAAACCTTGCAAGGGTAGGAGTATATAAATAGGAACTAATTAGGAAGGTTGTAGCTTGAGATATAGATTAGTTATAGCAGTATTCGAAAAGATGGCTTGATATATGAATCCAGTAGTGGCAGCACAACAGGTACTAGTTGTAAAAAAGTTATCGAACACACATTACCACAAAGATAAATACCAATGTAGCTAAAGTTTTAGGATCATTTCATAGCATTGCTAATCTCAATAAGAGTGTTAGAGAAGGTGTGTTACAGAGATAGAGCCAGAGGGTTTAAATGAGTATCTTCTATAGTTAGAATGCAGGTATGGCAACTAGTGTAGAATTTAGGGCAGACTACTTAAATAGGTAACCAAAAGTTGTATATATGGCTAGTTATACTCTCATTAGTAATAATCAAGAGCTTAAATAGGTAATCTTCTAGTTAGATTGCAGGCATGGCAGCTAGTGTAGAACCCAGGTAGACTACTTAAATTAGGTACCAAAAGTATACATGTGACTAGTTATATCCTTATAAATTTGATATAATATTATAACTATCTAAATAAAGCTACATGCTAGGGGTCTAAGTGGTCACTTTAATATTCAAAAAAAAAAATTTTAATGTAATCTTAAATATATATTATATATCGAGAAATTTGTGTCAAAATTTTTATAAGATAATAGTAAGTCTAATACAAACTAACTCACCTTTTGTCGTTACTATAATTTTTTGCAACAAATTTTGTATTCTAATACAAACCAACTACATGGTATGAACACTGAATAGCAAGCAAGTATTGTAAAATAATTTTTACTATAATTCATAGATCTTTGTATTGTTATAGCAGCTGCGAAACCTAATTATATCATAAAGTCCTTGTACTGTTTTTGTAGTTGCAGAGCTTAAAATATCAGGTTTTTCACTACTTGTGGCAGCCATAGAGCCTAATCACAATATAAGCTCCTTGCATTGTTACTGCAGCCACAAAACCTAATCACAATATGAGATTCTTGTATTGCTGTTATAGTTATAGACTCTATAAAAAAAAAACAGAAATCTATTTAGATTTGTTTAGATTATTTTAATAAAAATATAAACAAAATCTAAAAAAATTTTTTTTTTTATAAGAAGCTCAATCACAAAACATGAGGTTTTTGTATTGCTTGTGGCAGACATAGAGCTTAATTACAATATAAGGTCCTTGCATTGGTATCACAGCCATAAGCCTAATTATAACATGAGGTTCTTGTACTACATAATACAAAATCAAATATAGTATACTTATCTCTAGTATTCTAAATCGAGCTGGGCTCAATTAGGCTTATCAGAATTAGAAGTTGGTTCGATTTTGCTTAAAGGGCTTGCAAGCAGTAGTACAAATTATATAATACAATTTCTACTATTAATTTACATTATACAATAATTTCCTTTATCTCTGCTATTAATTATTAATAGCAAAAATAAAAAAAGTATTATATAATGTAAAATAATAGTGAAAATTGTATTACATAATTTGTACTAGTAGATTGCAAGCCCTTTAAGCCAAAATTGAGCCAACTTTTAATTTTAATGAGCCTAATTAAGCTAGCTTGATTCAGAACACTACTTATTTCTAACTAGGATTCTTTATATCAAGAAAATCTCAAGCTGCAAATCATTTTTAGTTTGTTTTTGGAAGCAAATTTGTGATTAGTAAGTTAATATTCTAATATTTATACCTGATACATTGTTTATATAAATCTTATTTGTTTGCTTTTTATTTTTCTATACTTTCTAATTTTGTAATTAGGTATATATATATATATATTTAAATTTATTTTATTTTTTTTAATGCAGTTTTTTTTATTAATTTTTTGTTATTTGGTTTTTGATGCTTTTTTTTATCCTTTTTAAATAGTTTATTGTGTTCTTTGGCACTTCTTTTGTCACTTTTGTCATTACTATTTTGGTTCTTTTTGTCATTTTTTGAAACTTCTTTTCAATAGATTTCTTGATGCTTTTTATTACTTTTTTGTAGCTCTTTATTGTTCTTTTTGATAGTATTTTTATCATTCTTTTTGATGCTTTTTTTGTTATTTTTCTATGCTATTTTTGTGCTTTTTTTGTCACTTTTTTGTTATTTTTCATTACTTTTTTGATAGTTTTTAATTAAATTACAAAAGGTAGTTTCTTAGTATTTTTGCTTTTTGTAAATTAATGTAATAAAATTTTTAAATAAAATAAAAATAAATTTTGGTAAAAAATATTAATTTAAAGGATAATTTTAATACTCACTAGAGTGAAATTCACTAGAGTGCTATATCTTAAAATGTACTAAATAAACAGGATTAGGTATTTTAAGTAAAAATGTTTAGGACCTTCAAAACCTCATAAAAACCAAAATTAAAACCTTATACATATTAAATATATATTATATTAAATAAAACTCCTTTATCTTAAAACTGCACTCTAACTTTAAAAATTCTTAGGATAGTAAATTTCACCACTGGTTAAATCTAAATTATTTCTAATTTAAAAGTCTTTTTAAAATTTAATTAATATTGTAATAAAATATTTTAAATTAGTTTAGAAGTGAATTTTCTTTATAAATATTAATCAACATTCAACATTCATTTTAACATTTACTTCAACATTTACTTCCACATTTACTTTCACATTTACTTCCACATTTACTTCCACATTTACTTCCATGTTACTTCCACATTTACTTCAATATTTACTTTCATGTTTACTTAACATTTGCTTTCATGTTTAGCATTTATTTCCATGTTTACTTCCACGTTTGCTTCCATGCTTGCTTCAATGTTCGTTTGCTTCCACATTTACTTCCATGTTTACTTTCACATTTACTTCAACGTTTACTTCAATGTTTACTTCCACGTTTACTTCAACGTTTACTTCCACATTTACTTCCACGTTTACTTCAACATTTACTTCAGCATTTATATAAACGGTTATTATTCATACGTCTTCAAAATATAAAACTTTTCTTATAAATTCATAAAATTTATTATTTATATAAAATATCAATCTACTAATCGCAAATTGGCCTCCGGGAACAGATCGGAAAGTGATCTGCAGTGATCGCAGCCCGAAATTTTCTTGACATAAGGGCTCTCTTCATAGTTAGGTTACTATAGTCTAGAGATGTAATGCAACATTATGTCGCATGATGCATTATGCAATTCTGCTTAATATACAGTGAACCTCTCAAAACCGATACGCGTGGCGAACAGATTTTGTATTAAAGGTATCGGATTTAAACCATAATAAACTATATTAGAAACTGATCCGGTAGTTATTGGATTTAATAGTCTATTGATTTTGATAGAATCAAGTGTCTATTGTCATGAGATAAAAGTGACATCATAAACAAACTGGTTCGCAATTCAACTGCGGAGACTTGGATAATTTATCACCTGATGTCGTGATAAAAGATCATGCAACTATAAAATAAGGTGAGCTATGTTTAATTATTTAAGCTATAAAAGTGATGTAATTTAGTGCGAGGTAGGGCTTATAAGCTCACTAATCCTATGATAATTTCTCTTCTATTATATGACCCATATTACCAATGTCATGCCTCTGGTGAATTTCCTTATCGCATAAATTCTATATTTTAGAGTGTAGATTATTGATCTTACGATTCACCCATAACACTATAAAGTGATTGTTAATGACATTTTTAAATTTTTAGCAAATTGCATCGCATTATTATTAGCAAGAAGCTTAAGGTTTAGTGTTGGCAATTTTATCGGCCAAAGAAAATTTTGGCCGGACAAAAAACGGCCAATTCGGCAAATTCATACGCCTTTTGGCCACAAAGGCCATACAAATTTGGTTTGGTTGATAAAATTGCCAACAATTGGCTTAAGGGTAAGAGCGTAATCACGTCATTGTAACCCGTGCCGTCGCAAAATAACAAGTCTGATTAGTTAAAATTTTTTTAGCCGATCAATGGTTACACAATAACGTAATTACACTCTACTCTTAAGACGTATTTATGCATACAGTAGACGAAACATTTAATTTCTCATGTGTATATTGTTATAAAAAAAAAAACAGAATGCGATCGTCAATAAAACTTCTTAAGAGAGCTTCGATTGATCTGAAATTTGTATGTCTTTCATAAATTAGTAATTCAACGACAATGGAGACAAATCCTTACGGCTCATTTGCAAGTCCTAAAGAAAATGTTTATGCGAAATGGTATGTTGATGGAAAGGATTATTTTTATGCGGTGTCGGAAACTTTAATGGCCGCAAGAGATGAAATTTTTATTGAAGGTTGGTGGCTTTCTCCAGAACTAGTAAGTTTTATTAATGATTGGACCCTGTGAATTGATACCCGACGAAACTATAATAAATTTATTGACGAAATTTGACAAAACCACTCATTTCGTCAGATTTCGTCAGTTTCGTCAGGCATCATCAATCCTGAGTAGAAATTACGTTATAAACCGGAATATATGATATTTGGGTGACCGGATTATTTAATTATACTCAGGTTGGGTATTAGCAGCGGGTCAAATCTCTAGTTTATTAAAATAAAAGTTTATACAAATCATATATTTGATGTATAACATTTATGCATAAAAAGTATCTTAGAAGACCTCCTGCATGTAACGAAACTTTCCGCCTTGATGAGCTATTAATAAAAAAGGCTAATGAGGGTGTCAAGATTTATGTTGTTTTGTACGAAGAGAATCCAATAATTATGTATTTGAACTCCAAACATGCAGAAAGTGCGCTGATGAAACATCCAAATATTATTGGTAAGAAAAAAAAAGCGATTCAAATTATTTTTTTTTTTTTACAATAATTGAATAAAAATGTTATAATTTCATCATGGATTAGTGTTTAGGCATGCTGAAAGAAGTTTTTGGACGGATGTCGAATGGGGATTTCATTGGCTTTGGAATAGAGTTTTTCCAAATACTACTAATATTAAACATCCAGAGACTGATCCTGATTCATTTTGGACCGTAAATATATTAATATGTTATATTTGAATGTTCGGTTATTTGTTAAAAAAGAAGTGTACTAACATGAATTATTGTTCTCGCAACATTGTATACTTATTAGCATCATGAGGTATCTAGACCAGAGATTCATAATATTTTTATTTTAAGTGACTAATTTTAAATCAATTAAAAAAGAAAATAGTAGTCATCGATAGACATACCGCCTTCATCGGTGGAATAGATATGAGTTTTGGTCGATATGACACCCACGCTCACTCCTTAGCAGATTTTCCGACAATTGCAAATTTTTCTGAAGTTTGGCCTGGTCAAGATTATAATAATGTTAGGATCAAAGATTTTGAAGAAGGTATTAGTTAAACTAAATTACTATCAAAAATTTCTTTGTTTTACGAATTTGAATTTGCTTTTCTAGTTCAAAAGTGGAAAACTGTTTGGATATCTAAAGAAATCTCAGCTCGTCTGCCGTGGCATGACATATCTATTGGATTCGTAAGTTTTAAACTTTTCTTCAAAACTCTAGTAAGTAATAATACATACACACTCTTTTCCCATATTAATGTTCCATTTACTAAACTTGTACTAAAGATTGGAGATCCTACGGTAGATGTTACAAATCATTTCATACAACGTTGGAACTTTATTAAATCCAGAAAAGCGAGAGAATACTCTAAGTATCCATTTTTAAAAGAATCTGTTACCAGTGAAAGTCCAAGAGTCAGAACGTACAATTATTTTAATGAAACTGCTGAGATTGATTCTTTAAAAGGCACATGTTCTGTGCAAATTTTAAGAAGTGCTTGTAAGTGGAGTCTTGGAATTGAGCTCGAGGTACGTAAAAGTATTTTCTCAATAAATATGCATTGACTTTCATCTCGTGAAAATTGTTTGTCTCATGTTTTATATGGAAATTTTTAGAAATCAATTCACCATGCATATGTGCACACTATCGTAAATGCAAAACACTTTATTTATATTGAAAACCAATTTTTCAGTAATTATCGTATCTGTTTTTTGGTTGGATCATATATAGATGTAACAGATAATGAATAATTGACTTATTTACCTTAAAACTCAATAGATACGGCAACTCATAACGGCGCTATATTTTATAATAAGATTGGAAAGGTATTTTACATCTGCTTTTTCTTATCATTAAATCGAAAAGATGTTGAGTGATTAACTTTATTCTTTTTTAAAAGGCACTTGTAAGACGAATTATAAAAGCTCATAGACTCAAAGAGAAATTTCGAGTTATTGTTGTGATGCCATTGATTCCAGGTTTTGAAGGTCAACTTGATGAAGAAACAGTGTCTTCTGCAGCTCTACGGTAAATAATTTGCTAAAAAAGGGATTGTTTTCACAAATAGAAAAAGAATTGTGTCCAATTAAATACGATTATAATCTTTTTTTTTTTATTTCATATATTTTATTCAAGGCTAACGATGGATCTTCAATACCGCGCAATATGTCGTGGTGATGATAAATTTGATGATTCAATTTGGGGGCAACTCAAAAAAGCTGATATTAATCCGGAAGATTATATATCTTTTTACGGTTTACGTACCCATGCTAAAATCGATTCTGAAGCTATTAAAAAAGCAACGAATATTATATCTGAGACAAGCCAAAAATTTTTCAAAAAACTTTATCCAAAAGGAGCTAAGTATGACAAAAACCCGATTGTTACAGAGCAAATTTATATACATTCCAAACTTATGATCGTGGATGATCAAATCGTTATTTGCGGATCTGGTAAATTTTTTTGTGATATATCATTTTTTTATTACGATATTAAAGAATATTATTAAACATATTCTTTTTTTTTTTTTTTACAGCCAACTTAAATGATAGATCTCTATTAGGAAGACATGACTCAGAAATCGCAGCAATCATTAAAGACACGGATGAAGTTGACTCAAAATTAGCAGGAAAATCTGTAATCATTAATTTTAATTATTACCTTTAAAATATACTCAAAAACCACAAGTTCACCTTTATTTATTTCATTAAATAGTTCAAAGCTAGTAAATTTGCAGTATCGCTAAGAAGACATTTATTTAAAGAATATCTTGGATTGCTTCAAGATTCTGATGACGATTTGTCAAAAGTTACTCACTACTGCTACCCCCCACCGTTACATATTGAAAATGAATCTTGTCTCTTTAAAACAGATGATGAAAAAAAATTAGAAGACCCTGTTAGTGATGAGTTCTTCAATTTGTGGAGAAGCACAGCTGAAGAAAACACAAAGATATACAATGGAGTTTTTCACTGTTTACCTAGTGACGATGGTAATTATTCTTTTCATAGACTTGCAGTATTTTAATCTATAATAATTTAAATTAATTATTTTTTTTTTTCAAACAGTTAAAACACAGTCTGATTATGAAAACTTTACACCGAAATCAAACAAAGTTCCGTTAGGTCATGTATACGATGAAAGTAAAATTCAAGAATTAGAAGATATTAAGGGATATTTAGTTCTATTCCCTTATGACTTTCTAAAAGAAGCAGAAACTATAACTTTTAACAAAATTAAAACTCTTAAAGATTTAAAAGATGATTTTGGCGAAACTAAACTTAGTGTTGAAGACGAATTGATAGAAGATTTAACTAGGTCATCACTATCTACTGCATCTAAATAAAAGCAGGAAATATAAATAAAGTAGTGAATACCAATGTAAATCAAGAATACGTCTTTAGGGCTAAAAATGTTTACTCACTTAGACGAAACTTAAGATTCGGTCTTGTTTGACCTTTTTTTTTTTTTTTTACTAAACTTCTAGTAAACTTGGTCTGGTTTTACAATTTTTACAATATGCTTTTAAATGTATCTCATAATTGAAGGTTTCTCTATTTATATCAATTCTTGGATCATTAGATGTTGGGAATTGTTTATCGTTACTATGTTTTGGGCTTTATCACATAATAAAATTGTATGTTAACATAAGTATTGATTAATTGTTAGTTTTTTATCACTTAATGAAGTATCAAATTATCATATTTCTACAGTATTATTATTGCATTTGAAACAAAACTTAATATTGAAAATATAGCGGATCTTTATTTTTATTATTAATAACACAAAATCATATTTTGAAATTTTAATCCACAATCTAAATCAACATCAAGCAAAAGTCGTGGAAATATGAACTTTGGAGCATCGAATACTGTTGATGAGTTCTTAAGGATTGAGAACGACAATAATTAGCTTTAAAAAACTTTGTAATAAATTATAAATGCTAATATTAATTAATAAATATAAAAAGTGCACAATAAATTTTTTACAGCTCTTAATTTATGGAAAATTTCATCATTTCATAATTTAATAGTTTATTAGTAAGTTTCAAAAATATGCCATATGTCGTCTTAAAATCGGTATGCATTTTATTAATTAATGTCAAAAAAAATTTTCAAAAATAAAAAGGCGAAAAAAAAACGCTTTGTCAAGCTTATGTCCTACAGTAATCGTAGCAATGCTTAAGTTGAAATTTGAGCAAAGCAAGGAATTAAACTTTGAACAAAATTTTTTAGAATAAATTTCAAAAATGATGATAGAAAAGCTTTGTATAATTGATTTAAATGTACTAACTATATAAGAAATCAACTTTTGATATGGCAATGTGATGCAACATATATTTTATCTTTATCAAGAAAATTATATAACTCTTTTGATAACCCAGCTGTTCATAAGTTTCAAATATAAAATGATCTTTCAAAATCTCTAACTGCAAAAACTTATGTATATTACATGAATAACGCAGAGCATATGGAAGCCTACCCATTTCTGTCTATTTTCCTAAGGTATGAAAACAATTTAAATCTAATGAATAATCTATTTTCAATTGTAAAATTTGTTCAAATTTTATCAAAACCTTTCATGTATTGAAAGCAGGAGTCAAGAAAAAGTGATAGCGATTGTAGTGTGGTGAAATGTGTAAAATATTAGAAAAGGCGTTCGCTAAATTTCACAGACTCATAGAATCAACTGATCCAATATTCAACAGATATAAATATCATACTTTTCCACAACCAATGCCAAAAATGCATAACATTCCTATCGTTCTTGGATTATTGGAACAAATTAAGAGAGCTGGTATTTGTGTGCAGTTATAGATTTTTTAGTTCAGGTCCAGAATGTTTCCTTAATGAATTTATTGAAATTCCTCCAAAAAACATGCCAATCCATAAAATTTCTTGAAAGAATAGACTTTCATGTAGTGCTCGGCAAAATCAAACAAAAACTCGATTATCGAGTTTTTGAATCTATCGATTTATAGTATTGTGCTTCAAT